AGCGTTTTTTTAATGGTAGTAACTATAAATACGAAATTAGTCAAACTATTGACCAATATAATCCAATTTTTAATGACCAGTGAGTTGTCAATATAATCCAAACGCCTCTTGGTTATTATATTAATTAAGGTCTCGATCCTTTTACCTCTGTCACATTATTAAAGAGATATTTTTTTCTTAAATAGATGTTATTAATAATACGCCATGACCGAAGTATACTATTTCAAACAAAAAAAATTACAGAGAGGTGAAAAACTTGGCTTACACGTCCATCAAGATCCACATCAGTCCACCAGTTTTGAAAGATATTGCATCCTTTAACTTTGATAAGTGGTTTCACCGGGTCTATCACGAAAGAGTCTTTGCCGAGATGCATGGGATCATAAAATCCAAAATGTCATATATGTAAACTTATTCCTAAGGATTTCAATTATGAAATCTATCCTAAGATCATCTAGTTTGATTTAACTCAACCACAAACACTTTTTTGGAGAAGAAGAAAGACTAACCTTGATCCATTGTTTGATTGGTTTGAAATGGAATCAATTCACCAATTGATTTCTTCCTTTTTTTGACCTCTTAATCCTTACGATTCCTTTCGATGGAGAAGGAATCAAATCCTCCTCTCTCTCACACTTTATGTACGGTTACGTTATCTCTTGTTTTTGTTATTTCGAAAAACATGTGGTTACTTGTCCTTTTATAATGTGATCAACCATCACAATTATTCACACGTAACCACCCATTTTGTAACCGTCACTTATATGTCTCCATACAAAGTATTATCCATATGTAGTAATACTTAATTATGTATTAACTACAAATGCAATACATATAACATTAGAGAGAGATATATACAATATACTAAGGTAAGGGAGGAAGGTTATCAATACACCTAAATTCTAATGTCTTCAATCGAAACCAATCCATCATGGTGTCATCTTTTATATTAGAATCATTAACCTCAATATAAACTTGATTTTTAATAATTAAACCGAAAAACACATACGTCACATAAGAATATAAATATTCTTACAATATAATCTACATCTTGATCATATAAATCTTCTACCATCTCCAAAAACCACAATACTATAGTGTACCGATTGGTACCATAGACATTTCCAAACAATGATTTCTTAGTTGATGTCGTACACACTCTAATATATAACATTATTATAGCGATATTTGATCTAAAATTTTATACCAATGATAATCAAATATGTAGTATATGCGATTATGATGAAATCACACCATATCTACAATGGACAGTTTTTTTTTCTTCTCTAACATACAAAAGCATAACAAATAGATCTACCTGTAATACTACATAAATTATACTAAATTGTGCATCTATTAATTTGGAAAATTTACATTTTACGAAAAAAGAATTTATATTTGGGATAGAAACCTTTAAACTTTTGATCACGAGACCAAAAGACCTTCACAAGGTTTCGAGTTTTAAAATCAATGAAAAAATTGCAACAAAATACCGATCAAAGTATGATGTAAAATCAATAAATGAAACTTGGTTGAATGCTTATGAGTTACTCCTTTCCTAACGTTTATGAAATTGTTGACATTTTACCTAATAAGTAGAATCAGAAGT